CCCAATGATAATAAACTTAGCATTTTATACAGGGTGTCCACAAATTTAAACTAATCAAATAAGAACTTTAAGTGGCTATAACTTGATTAATTTAAATACAACCCCATGTTTTTTAGCTTACCAGGAAGTGCAGTTTTTAATTACCTATAGAATGGTACTAGGATGTTTACAACTAAGTTTTTGCCTTTTTACAAAATACACCAAATAATGATTCTGTGCACCATTTGGTGTTTTTTTTATTAAAAGGTTAAATAACATATCAACAATAACATCAAACAAAGGCAAATTATTTATAACAAATTTTCGAAATGTTTCCATGGCACTTTCATTTCCAGGCACTTGTAAATTCTTTTTTCAAAACAACTGCTAACTCTGGACAACATTTGCGGAGTTACAGTTTTAAAAGCGTCTCTTATGCCTGTTTTCAAATCGTGTGAAGTTGTCGGAAGCGTATGGTAGACAATTCCTTTTATGTACCCCACAAAAAGAAATCTAGTGGAGTTAAGTCCGGAGATCTGGGGGGCCAATTTTGAAACCCACTTCTGCCAATTCACCTGTTTTGAAAGTTGGCATTTAAAAATTGACAAACTTCGCAGTGATACTGAGGCGGAGCTCCATCCAATTGAAGCCACATGTTGATTTTAATATTGAAAGGGACTAATAATATTGAGAGATGGTTTATTAGAAACTGGAGAAACATCAAACCATTTAGATGTCCTTCAAAAAAATAAGGTCCAATTAAATATTGGCCCAGTATTCCACCCCACACATTAACTGACCACCTATTTTTATTTTTCATGACGCTGTTTGCGCGCGGATTCGTATCAGAATAATAATGAAAGTTGTGTCTACTCACCAGACCATTTTTATGAAAAGTACATTCATCACTAAATAACACATTTTCGAAAAAAATTTCATTATCTAACACCCACATGCAAAACTCAGTTAGGTTTTCAAAATCATTTCCATAAAGTTCTTGGCAAAGCTGAATTTTATAAGGATAAAAGTTGTACTTTTTGATAATTCTGGAAATACTTGATTGACTAATGTTAGTACTTTTGGATATTAGATTTTGACTAACATTGGGATTTTCGATAACTGAACCAATTACCGCGAAAACATTTTCTTCATCTTCAGTGACCGATTTACTTGTAATGGGTTTTTTATAATTGACACTCCCACTTTCCTCAAATTGGTGCAAAAAGCGCTTAAAAACTGTTGGTTTAGGATCTAGGAACCAGATCCTTCCTCCACGCAAGACTTCATTTTTCAATATGAGCTCTCGCGAGCGGAGCCCTTCAGGGTCCGACAGCGAAGACTCAAACGCGTCAGAATCGGAACAAGGTGAGCCTGCAAGACGCCCTCCACAAAAACCCCGCACCCTGCTTTCATTCAAAGCTAAAACCAAGGCCGCCGACCTTCAGTCACTTCGCTTGGCAAATTCCAAGCTCCAGGAGAGTGTCACCTCCCTCAAAAAGCAGAATCAACTG